CGGCGGCACAGCGACGCGCCGCTCCCTCGGGGCTGCCCGCTCTGCCCCGACGGCGGCACCACGCAGGCGCAGACGCAGGCGTGCGGCCCGGGCCTGGGCTCAGCTGCCGGGGCCGCGGCGTCTTGGGGATCCCCGCCAGCCTGCCCCGAGGCCCCGGCGGCGCCGGAGCTGTGCAACCTGCCGGTGCGCTACAACGAGGAGGTGTGCCCAGAAGGGCTGGCGATGGAGCTGGGTCCCTCGTCTCCGGTTAGTACCTCTTTCCGCGCGCAGACCCCCCTCCCGGTGCCGTGGTGGATGGCGCCACGCCACCTACTGTCCGCGCCCCCGGCAGACAGCACCCCTGCGGGGACCAGCCACCCTGCCTCCCCCCTCCCCCCACCGCAGCCCAGCTTCGCCTGCCCGCTCACGGGAGCAACGTAGCTGGTGTGCCCCGGCGAGGGCAGGGAGAGGACGCGCAGGGGACAGGGTCCCGTTCCCCGCCAAAGGCCTCCTGAGAGTGGAGCCCACGACCGCGGACGTCCGGGCTCCGCGGCCAACGCAGAGGGCCACGCTGTTCCCTCTCTCCCCGCAGCTCTTTCCCGGCGACGTGCTGGCCCTGCTGGAGACCTGGATGCCCCTGTCGCCCCTGGAGTGGTCGCCAGCCTGAGTGGTTGAAGTGACGACAGCTGGCGCCCTGGCCGTGAGCCCCGAGGCCTTCTTGGCCTCAGCTTCGAAGTGGTCCCTCTCCAGACTCCCTCTCCTCGAGGAGGGCACCGGCTATACTGGCATGGGCATTCCTGAGAGTGACAGCCTGTCCCCACCCAGGACGGCCCTCCCCAGTCTCTTGTGTCGGGGCAGCCCATAGCGTACACACTTAGAGGCAGGCAGCAGGCTCTGCCTAGTGTGTATTTATTTATTTGTGAATAAACTGTGCTGGTGTAGGTTGGCAATTTCTTCTTCCTCTTCATGGACACAGTGCTCCCTCCCCCTCCTCCAAAGAAGAACATAAGAGAGTTGGGAGGGTTTCTTGCAATTTCAGCCCCCAAAGCACACAGGCTCAGACCCCTTCCTCCCTGCCTTCAACCCTGGCTTAGCATCTCCTACTCCACATGGGTCAGCCTTGAAGGGGGGAGGCTCTCCAGATGAGAAAGTGGCAGCTAGTGGAGTCTGTCCATCTTTTCTTTGGACTTGGTGGGCAGCTGGATAAAACCAAAGAATCTGTAGAAAATACATTTTCCATTAGCAAGTACTTATTGTGCATCAAGTCCTTTACACATTTTATATCCAAATAACCATTTTACAGAACAGTAAACCAAGAATCAGCACTCAGGCCCAGATATGACTTCAGAATCTGAGGCCTCAGCCCTGGTAGGATTTTGCCAGCTCCGTTCATTCTGGCCTGGGGGACACCGGCTCCAAAGGCTCATTTCCTGTGTCTGGCGTCCTTACTCCCCTTGTGCTGGAGCATCTTGGCCTGGACCTGGGATTTTTCCCATCTCCCTTCAGTCTGGTTTCTCTCCCATGTGGTTAAGGGACATAAGACCAGTGGATCAGTCCTGAGGTTATGTAACTGTGACCTCACAGAGGCCTGGCTAGGTAAGATGACAGGCTCATCTGGTTGCATCCAAATCCACACAGCTGACCTGGACTGCTGCCGCACTCCTGTCTACACTGGCTGGATTCAGATTAGGAAGGTGCTGCATGGGGAAGAGGGGAGCCTTGAGCCCAGAAGGAGCCTGGCCTGGGTCAGGGGGGTCTGGTGAGCAGTCAAGCCTGGGGATGAGGGTGGGCAAGGGGGTGTAGCCTCTCTGCCCAAGGGTCCCTCACCCTCTATGGATACCCAGTTCTCCCTCTGCCTCCCTAAAGCGTCTTTGAAACACAGACCTTGGTATTTGTCTTTACTGAGATGTAATTTACATATTATAAAATTCACCCTTTTAAAGGTTATAATTCAATGGTTTTAGTATATTCATAGAGTTATGCAACCATCACCACTATCTAATTTTAGAACATTTTCATCACCCCCAAAAAGAACCCTGTATTTATTAGCCATCATTCCCCATTATTCCACTCCCCACCCCCACCCCAGCCCACTAATCTACTTTCTCTGTAGACTTGCTTGTTCTGGACATTTTGTACAAATGGAATCATACAATATGAGGCCTTTTGTATCTGGCTTCTTTCACTCAGCATAACGTTTTCAGGGTTCACCCATTTTGTCTTGCGTATCAGTACTTCATTTCTTTTTATTGCCCAGTACTGTTCCATCGTATGGACATACCACACAGTTTACCTGCTTATCCACTGATATTGGTAGGCGTGTTCTGAAACCACCTCAGAGATCATTTCCAGTGCTTGGGCCCTGGCCAGGAGGGGAATAATTCGGAGTGGGGTGGGGTCACTGCTGTGTAATTCAGGAGTCCAGGCGCACCCTGGCCAGCATCTGGCTGCAGAGAGTAGGATCCAAAAGCAGAGGCCCTGCAGTGGGGCAGGACCTCACACCTTCGCTGATCACCGCCTTCTCCCGCATCTCCACCCCCATCTCGCTCTCCCCTCCCAGGACCCTAACTGGAGCAGAGCGGGAAGTCTTTTCCAGGAGCCTACCCAGTTTAGAAAGTCTGTTTGCATGGCAAAGGCCCCGTGGTTTAGGATGGGGAATTAAAGTTATTAGCAAGTCTTTTCACCGATAAGTGGGGCTCATTGGCCAGCCCCTTCCCCTGCGGAGGGCCTCTCCTCCCTCTCAGAGCCCAGGAGGGGCCCACTGTTTATTAGCACCTGGGTGTGAATTTTCATTAACACGTCCCTGCTAATAAGACAGAGGATTGGAGATGGGTTGCCTCCCACCGCTCCCGCACCCCACCCGCTTCCTGGCCCAGCCCCACTCGCACCCGGAGGAAACCCTGCGTCCCCACTTAGAGAGACGAGGACAGTAACCAGCGTCCGGGTAGGTGAGTCCTGGGCACGTGCGCTCTCAGTTCTCAGCTAACCTGTGAGGTAACCCCAGTTAACGGGGCCACCTTAAGGATGGGAAAGTTAAGAGGCTAACTAATGTGCCCGTACAGATGTTCAGTAGCAGCGCTGGGATTGGGCCTGTGTGCTCACCCGCGGGTGCACTGCCTTTTTGACAGCTGAACACCAGCCTGTTTCACGGACAGAGGGTATGGGGTAGCACACCTCATCGGGGGCCTGGCAGGGTGCCCTGGGCTGGGGCGGTCTGAGCCTCGTCTGCTGGAATGTGGGAGTGTGAGGACGGCGTCAGCACGGGGCACCGACCGGGGCCAGCCTGTGGGTCCGCCCGTGATCTGGTCGCTGCTGGTCAACAGGGCTGCCCTCCCTTCCCGCAGAGCTGCTTTCACAGCCTGATGGTCAGAACGCACGTGCTGGAGAAACAGATCTGGAGCAGCTACTTTGGGCCAGACTCAGCTTTGGGCTTTCAATTCACCATCTAATTTCAAGTCACTTTAGCCTCAGAGCCACAGGAGAGGTGGGCAGGTGTGTGCTTGTGGTTATGTTACAGATCAAGACAGAAAAAGGTCAAGGAGTTTTCCACAAAGTTAGTGGCTATTAGGGTGGGGACAACGGTGGGTGGTAGTGACAAGTCCCGTCTTTGGAATAGCCCAGGCAGGTAACTGAGTGCATGCTGGAGGGCATAAAATAAAGCTCCTAACGCACATGGGCCACGGGTGCCGCTGCCAGCAGGGAACCTGCTTCTGCTCACTGACCACACATGGTGTCCCGCTGAGACAGCTGTCCTGTGTAGATGCTGATGCTGCACGGGCCAACGTTTTAAGGAGGGGCCGCTAAGCTGATCATTCTATACTCAAGGACATGCTACATGTGTCACAATATGAACCCAGGGGCAGAGGAAGCAGGCGGTGGTCATGAGTCGCCTGTATCTGCAAATGGCAGACTGTTCTGGGAGCAGGGCCGGAGAGCTGGGCTCGGCCTTGGGTGGGCAGTGCATCTGGAGGAGGGCCAAGCCCAGATGTCCCTCTGGCCGAGTGTTCCTAAATCAACAGGTCCATCTGAGGGGGACATGGATGCCCAGGATTCTGAAACACCCTCTCCCTGGGGAACCAGGGTGGCACAGGAGGAAGGCTGGCCCTAACTACAAAGCCCCCGCTTGTCCCAGGGTGAGGCCAGAAGCCACTTTGTCCATCATGCATTTGCACGACCCTGAGGGTGAATGTTTCCTAAATTCTGCACTCTGGGCAAACGTTTGCCTCACCCTAGTCCTAACACTCCCCTGAGAAGACCCAGGGTTCTTGGTGCTTCCAAGGGGCCCTATTACCCAGTGCTCAAGGACCTCTTTGGGGCCACTGGCATAGCCCACTCAGCCCTGGTGGGCACCAGCACTGAGGGGGGCTAGAGCCCTGGACGCACAGCCCAGCGCTGCCCAGGCCTTTCCTGCCTCTTCTAGCACTTTGCCAGGCCCTGGTTCCTTCTCTGTTGTCCCTCCTGTGGGACCCGGCACACAGGCTCCTTGTGAATGCCCCTACTCCCCTCTTCCCCCTCGCCCTCCCCAGACACACTAGGAACCGAGGAGGTGGCATGGCGTTGGCAACACGTGACTTTGGAGGTGGACCCAGCACCTCTGTCATCTTGGCCTGCTCAGCATCCCTCCTGCCTTCTTCCCTCGTGGCTGTCATTTTCCTTTCTTCAGACAGTTCTCCCCTCCTTAGTTCAGGGGTCATAACCTCCATGTCCTTCCAGGGATGGGCACATGCCGCAGGTGCTAGTGGGGATAACGGTAAGATCTGCATTTCTGTGAAACACAGAAACCACAGCAGATGCCCCGTAAATGTTAGCTCCCCGTCACATTGAGGTGGTGTGTGAGGGCCAAGACCACCATCCCAAGGTTTCCTCTCCCATCTCAAAGAGAGTTGCCAGGGTGCCTGCTGTGTAGAGGAAACAGACTGCTGTAAAATGTTATTTCTGCTGCTGTGTTTTCATTCCCATGGTGGGGAGGGCGAGGGGCAGGGTGTCTCAGGGGACCCCTTTGTCCAGGGGACATTCGGCTAGTCAGTACCAGTGCCATGAGGGAGGGGTCATGCCAATGAGGAGCGTGTGTGACCCCGGGAGGAGGTGGATGGGGACACAAAAGAAGCGGCCCGTCACAAACCCTGCATGCAGTCAGGGCTTCGTGGGCAGGTTACCATGGGGGAGGCTGGGACATTAACCATCTGCAGTTCTCAAAGTCACCACTCAGTGTCCTCAGAGAGGCAGCAGAGGCCTTAAGCTGCAGGGAACCCCTCCATCCAGTTTTCCTGGGAAGGGCAGTTTCTAGAGAAGAGAAAGTTGCCTCTCTGCCCCCTCCTGTGCCCCCAGGCCCCCCAGCTTCCTCTAGGGTTCCCAGGCTAGCTGGCAAGGGGCATCAGTGGCACAGTTCCTGCCCCCCACCTCACCGGGCCCTACTCTGCCTCTCATACCTGTGTGACCTCAGGTAGTCACTCAACCACTCTGAGCCTCAGCTTCTCCAAAGTGCTTCCATAAAGGCTATGGGCCAGCACAGAGAGGGAAAAGAAGTGGGTGGAGAGAAAAGGGGGCCACCCAGTAGCTGGGGTGGGCTGGGTGTCTTGTTCATTGGAACAAAGTGGTTCTCCTGGGCCTATAAGGCCCAGAAGCCTGGTCCCCCAAGGCCTGGGACTCTGGTGGAAACCACGCCTGGGCCCTGCTGGAGTCTGGACTGGGTGGGAATGAAGGGTTACACATCACAGCAACTTGGGAGTCTGGAAACAACACTGCTGTTTATTTGGGTGACCCTCTGCCCGCCCGAGGGCTCTGACAAGTGGCTTAGTGGTTGAAGGCCCCCAGAATCCTTTCCCCCTGCTGGCTCTGCTGGGGTCCAAGACTGCAAGTCCAGGCTCCCTGGGCCTATGAGCTGCAGTCCTTTGCACTGTGTCTCTTGGCCTCCGGGCATCCTGGGGCGAGGCCTGCCTGCTGCCAACCTTCTCACAGAGCCCAGGGTGACTGCCCAGTCACTTCTTGAAGTTCTCTCTTTGGAGGAACAAGGAATACCGCCGCAGCCGGGCCCAGGGCTCCTCCTCTTTCACCTTGTTCGTCTCCAGCCTCTGAAACCTGTGGGCCACACACTGGAGATGAGAGGGTCCTGCCTTGTGCTGCATCCCCCGACTCCTAGGTCCCCAGGGTGGACCCTGACCACCCTGCTAATAGAAGGAACTCTCCAGATGACATATCTGTTTCATGTCCGTGTCCTCAGGACTCAGCCTGGTGCACAGCAGGCACTCGAGAGGACTGTTCAGAATGAATGATGGGTCTAGCATTCCAAACCAAGAAGTGTACAGAGAGCAGGCACAGGGAATTTAGGAACTAACGGTCTATCCGCGTGGACCAACGTTCAATACAGCAGAATGCCAACAGCTTCGTTTAATAAACATTCTTGAGCATCTACAGTGACAGGCGCTGGTGCAAATGTCAGAAAGATCAAAGTGACTAAAACAGCCTGTCCCTCTCCCCAGTTTAGTAAGAGTGACAAGAGTAAAAGAACGTTTGTAACAGGAGGCACTGAAGTGCAACAGAGGAGAAACACAGAGAGGAGGAAGAGGCCCACCTTGCCAGGCAGAGCTCCAGAAGATAAGACGTCTGAGTTGGGTCATTTATAAAATAAGAGGCTACAGGGGCCAGCCCGGTGGCATAGTGGTTAAGTTCATGCGCTCTGCTTAGGCAGCCCAGGGTTTGCAGGTTCGGATCCTGGGTGCGGATCTACGCACAGCTCATCAAACCATGCTGTGGCAGTGACCCACATACAAAATAGAGTAAGATGGGCACAGACGTTAGCTCAGAGCCAGTCTTCCTCACACAAAAAAATAAATAAATACGAGGTTATTTCTTTTAATAGCAAATAAATGCATGTTCAATACAGAAAAATCAGAGAGGCCCTGGATTCACGCCTCATTCTGCATGCAGAGCTGGCGGCTGTGAGCGGGGTGGCGGAGGAGGGGGGGCAAGCTGCTGCCAGGGTCTCTGCCTCGGGAGCCTGAGCTCAGCTCCAGGCACACAGAGGACGGGCGGGAGGGACAGTGACTGCAGCTCTGGATTTGTTTGAGGCTCTGCCTGTGGGACGTCCACACGGAGACGTGTCTGGTACTCAACACATTAAAACACTTTTTAACTTAAAAAAGTAATCTACGCTTTGCTTTTTTTAAAAAAATCAAAGACTACTCATGGGTATACAATTGAAAGTAAACCTCCCCCTCACCTCAGATCCTTATTTTCTGATCCCAAAGCAACTGTAATCAACAGCTCCTTGCGAGTCCTTGAAAATTGTTCACACACGTACAAGCATAGATGTATCTTTTTTTTATACTTAAATGAAAGCGTGCAACGCACTGTTGTGCACCCTGCTTTTTTCACTGAAACTACATCCTAGAAATCACTTCCAGGTGGCGCTCACAGATCCTTCTCATTCTTTTTCCCTGTTGACGACACTTAGCGTTCCCAGCCTCCTGCTAATGTGATCAGGGCTGCGCTGACCATCCCGTCTCCGCAGGGGCATCTCTGCTTGCGGGAGCGGATAGGGGAGGCAGAGTGTGCAGGTCAGAAACTCAGGCTTTGGACCCACATGCCTTGTGTTCAAACCCAGCTCCTTCGCTTAAAAGCTGGTGCCTTTGAATGGGCGAGTTGACCTCTGTCCACCTCAGCTTCCTCGCTGTACGGCGGGGATAATAATAGTAACAAATAAGATTATTCCCGCAAAGCACTCAGCACAGTCCCGGGCATACAGTAGGCGCTCAGTGAAGGCTAATTATAATGATGCCTCCGCTGCTGCTGATAAACAAGTGGAAGTGAAATTGCTGGGTCAGGGGGTCAGAACAAGGAATCAATGAGTGACCATCCAGGAGGCGGTGTAACAGATGCAACGAAGACAAGTTTTAAAGGAAGACCGAAAATAAAGCCACCAGCGTGTTCAAAGAAAATGTGAGTGATTTTTAAAATATAATGTTGGTGAGTAGAAGGGCTTTCTCTACGACCTAGTAATAAGTAATGGCGAACCTTGCGCATGTGTGCCAGGCCATGTCCTGTGAGGAGAGTCGACTGTCGGTGGTTTTACACAAGAGGACACTGAGGTCTGCCCGTCACACAGCCAGAGGCCCCCAGTCGACCCCCTGTCACAGTGTAGGGCTTGCACCCTGAATCTGGGGCTCTTCACAACCAGCCCTCAGCGAAGCCTAAGGGAGAAGATGGAAAACTCCAGCCACACGACATGTGAAACTTTTGTTTGGGCCAAACAAGCAACCAAAATTACTCCTATCCAAAGATAAACCTGAAAAATTATTCGCAACATATTCACAAAGAACTCTTAAAATCAAAAGAAAATGAACTCACCCCCAGGAAGAGACTGTGGGCAGGTCACAGGAGGAGAGAGAGAAACATACACCACACATGGCAAAACGATGCTCAACCTCCTCATTTTTCAAATTAAAACAGTAATGAGCCATCAATTTTTGTCTCCCGTTTCTTGGCCAGTGTGGGAAGGGGCGAGGACATGAAGTGAATCCACTACCTCTGGAGGGCTGGTGGGTACCACTGTCACAGTTACAAGGTGCCTACCCCATAACCCTGAAAGGCCACCTCTAAGAATTACCCTATATAAATAGTAAGAAAAACCCACACAAATGACCGTGTGAGGCTGCTGGGCTGCACAGGTGGGGCCAGAGCGACCCACGGTGTCTACAGTGGCTGGGGAGCATATGGAAGAAGAGGACACAGGAGTGTTGTGTTGACCACGGCTCCTCGGAGCCGGGCTCTGGGAGGAGGAGAGAAGGCAGCTGCAGGGCTGGGAAAGTGCTTGCTTGTTTTCTAACGTGGGGACATGGTGGGGACACATGCCTATGATTATGACGAGCCAGTGGAGGGGAAGAGGTCGCCAACCGATGGATGAGAAGGTCTTGGTGTCCTGGGGGAGGAGATGGCCTAGGACCCCAAATGGAGGAAGAAGTATTAGCCTTGGGTATGAGCAGGGTGCTGCTTTCTCTGAATCAGGAGGTAGGCAGGGGGTAGGGTGGGGGCCCCTGGCGACCCAGGCGAGAGGGCAGCCAAGGGACTAGAGAGCTCCGGGAAGCGGGAGGTGAGGTTATCCACCCATGGCCAGGGCAGAGGTGGTGGGGGATGCCTGCCATTTGGTGTGAGTAGGTGGAAGCTGGTGGGCGCCCTGCGTCGGGCCAGCACGTCTGCAGTGACTCTCTGCAGTGCTCAGCAGAGGAGGGAGTGGGGAGGATGCCTGGTCATATGAGGCTGGGCACTGGCCATCAGGAACCCCCTGGGAAAAGCCCTCTCTGGAGCCTGAGACACTCTCCCTCCACCATCAGCAAATAAAGGCTTTTCCTTCCCGTGATGGTGTAACAAACTATGACTGTTGTCTGTTTGAAGCAAGGTACTGACCAGGTGCGTACATCTTCCAAAAAGATAGGCTGTCCATCCACAAAGTGGGAGAGAAGATGGAACATGTCCAAGTCCTTGCACAAAGCCTTTGAATTCAAATAGCCTGACTGTATACACATTTGGGGTCTATGAGTCTATAAATCATTTTCCAGGGATTTATCCCTTTGTTTCTCAAGAAGAGAAAGGAAAGTTAGGATAGGCCCACAATTTCTGTTCCAGGGATAGTAACAAAGGGGGTCAGAATACCACCCCTTGCCCTCCTCCTCCAACCTTGAGGGAAATGTCACCTGGTGTCCACACAGGGCCTGCCCAGCCCTCATCAAGGGAGCCATGTGCCCTGTGGACTTGGGACTGTTGGGTCATCCCAGAAGCCCATCTTCTAGAAGAAAGCTGGGGAGACAGAACCTGGATCTTGTTTGGCCTTGTATTCCGCAAGGAATAAAGGTTGAGAGAGAGAGAGAGACAGACAGACAGACAGACAGACACACACACACACACACACACACACAGTCTCGCTTCCTGGTGTCCTGAAATTTCTGTCTTGTTGTGATCAAAAGTTTGACTGAGCAAGAGGTGGCAGACACTAAACAGACGGGGAGTGGAGCCAGATGGAAACGGTGCCCTGGGTGCCCGGCTGGACGGGAGCAGAGGCCATGCCTGGGGAAGGGCTGGAGAAGGGGGTGCATTGGCACTCACTGGCCTCTTTTCAAAGCCCTAAGGGCAGGCTCCAGGCTCACATGGGCTGTTTATAAAAGTCCCCAGGGCTGGGTTTGTGAAAATAATTTGGTCAGGCTATCACAAGTTTGAAACTGAATCTATTGCCACGTGAATCCACTGCCTTCCAGCCTCACCTCGTTTTAGGGCCAGTGGAAACTTTCAGACACAAGAAGTAAAAAGGAAAAGAAAGACGAGACCTAAAACCTTTGGGACATATATGGATATGTGTGATAAATAACAATAGTAAAATGTTAACAATAGAATCTAGGTTGTGGGTATATGGGTGTTCACTGATATTTTGTTTTCAAAGCTACCGTATGTTTGAAAATTTTCACAATAAAATGCTGGTGGGGGGTACTCTTTGGGAAAGCCCCAGATGTCAGAGCAAGTAGAACAGGAAAAGCCTCTTTAAATCAGTGTTTCCCAATTTATCGCTGGGACCCAATTCAGAAAATGGGTTGCCACAAGGGATATGATTCAAACACTGTGATCAGGGCCAAAGAAACGTTCCTTCAAGCTGGGCCTGCCCCAATCGCACAAAGCGACCCCTCCCAGCTCCTGTTGGGTCTCTGGACCCAGGGAGTACTTCTCTGAGGTTTTCCGTTCCCCAAGCTCCCGCTGCTCGCTCAGCCCAAGTGCTGCCCCCGGCCCCCAATGCCCCACCTGGTCAGCCCTGCTGACTCTGGCCCTCTTCCCTGCAGAACGTTCCTGGGGGGCAGTGCTCTCCACCCCACCCAGACACTGTGGGCCTTCCAAGGAGGGGCTGGGGTGTGGCACCTGGGACTAAGCTGTGCAGACAGGGAGGAGAGACGGCTGGGAAGGGGGAGGTGGAAGAGTCCCCCCCATTCCCATGGGGGCTAGGATAGGCCTCTGGGACTCCAGAGCCTGGAGGAGGTCAGGGCAGAAGGGCTGTCTCCTCACGAGAGCGAGCCCAACCACAGGGCGGGGGGGCAGCATATTATAGACACCTGTCCACAGAAATGGCATCAGCAGTAAAAACCATATTTACAAAGAAGATTTTCTAAAAATTAAGAAGTCATTAAGTTATATTCTGGAGTGACATGAAGCCAGATTAGAAAGCGAACACGGAACATGATCTCAATTTAGTAAAAATGCCAAGGAAAAAAACTGAGGGAAAGGCACTAACATATTAACAGTGGCGCTGGGATTTTTGGTATGGATTATGGGTTATTTAAATTTTCTTTTTTGTCTTGTCCTGTTTTCCCAATGTCTACACGCACAGATGTGACTTCTATCAGAAACAATGAGTGATACTTTCACAGCAGGTAATTCTCCGCTGTAGCTGTCACCAGCCAAGCAGGGTTCCTGGGGTGTCTGGGTACTAACCCTGCTTGTGGCGTGGCTGAGGGTGGGAAATGTCTGTTAGGGATGGAGGCGTCCTGAGCAGGTCGGGCCCTCTGCTGCCAGGCAGGAGGTGAGCCGCCCAGGACTGGGGCTGCTGGCCCGTGGTCCATTCTCACAGGGAGGGTAGCCAGTGGCTTTTGGATAAAGTAGGAAGCAGCTCACCCTTTCTAAGCTAGTGAAAGGAGCGGGTTAGACAGAAAGGACAGGAACAGAAACAAACTCAGTAAACAAGGAGTTCTTTGGGCCTCCTCAAGCAAGAGCACCAGAAAGCTCCTTGCCATGCCCTCCACCCCAGGAAAACGGCCTTGCTACAGCCACAACCTAATCTCACACTCTTGACTTTTTGCTTAACCACTATTTTAAATTTTCCAAAATAATGCATATTTTTTGTAGAAAAGTTGTAAATAGGGAAAATACAACGAAAAAAATCATTCATACTTCATCACCCAAATATAACCAGTTACTACTTGGTGTGCACATTTCCAGTCTTCTCTCTTTTACTCAAAATCAGGATTATACTATAAATAATATTTTATAACCACTCCCCATCTTTTATTCAGAAAAATTTCAAACTTACAGAAAAGTTGCAAGTAGTGCAATGAACCTTCACCTATATTCACCAGCTGTTAACATCTCATCACCCTCTCTTTCTCTGTCTCTCTCTATAAATATTTTCCTGGGTTTCACCAGTTGTTCAGATTTTCTCTTTCTCTCTGTCTCTATCTATAAATGTTTTCCTGGACCACTTGAAAGTAAGTTGTAGACATCATGATACTTCACACTTAAATTCTTCAGCTGCATCTCTTCAGAACAAGTCAAGTCATCAAGGGTCAAAACAAGAAACCTCCACATGAGGAACAGCCGAGCATCCTTAGTAAATCCCTATCAGGGGAAATGTCAACTGACCCCTTCCTCCCTGTCCTCCTCCCCCAGGACCCAGAGACCATACTCCTCTCCCAGTGAATGGGCATGCTTCCCTCCTTGACACACTGAAAGCCACCCAAGCAACTCACCACAGCCTAGGAAGGCACTAAACACAGCAGGTAAATGCCGTCATGAAGGAGGCGCTGTGGTGCCACCTCGTGGTGATGTTTACAATTTTCCTAGGCATGAACTGGCGTTAGCAGAGAGGACCCGTCATCATTCTTGGACCTACCATTTGCTGAGCGACCACCCTGTGCCTAGCACTTTACATGTATTATCTCACTGAATACCTACAAAACCTGAAGGTCAGGCATTACTGAAATGTCCAGAACACAGTCTGGCACATCGTGGGTGCTCAATAAATATTTTTTGAATGAATGAGGAAACTGAGGCTCTGAGAGGTTAAGTAACTCACCCAAGGTCTCCTAGTTAGTAAGCGGTGGAGTCAGAGTATCTTAGCCATTCTACTGCGTTCCTCTTAAAGAAGGGGTAAATAGAGAAAGGGAGAGATGGTTGGGAAGCGACGCTATGGAGATTGGAGAGATCACAGAATCTCAGAGCTCATGTTACAGAAGGACATTGAGGTCCTGGAAGAGAAGGGACCACCAAAGTCACTGGCTCTGTAGTGGCAGGCCTGGCACGAGAATCCAGGGCTCCATTGATGACCCCCTTCCACCTAAGATCATGGCAGAAATCATCAACAAGAATTTGCAAACATCCATAAATTTGTTGTGGACGGATTAGAAGAGCACCTGCTTCTCCAGAATGGACTGAGGACAGTTCATTACGCTTTTATAGAAGAAAGCAGCACACGCAGAGTCCCAGCAGGACTGGGGGTAGCAGGAAGGGGAAAGGGAAGAGGAGAAATGCATTACATAACCGTTTCTCTAGATGCTGGGTAAAGGAAGGGGGTCTTACCAGAGGCTGGCAAACCTTTTCTACAAAGGGCCAGACCGTAGATGAGTTACGGTTTCTGGGTCACCTGGTCTCTGCACAACTGCTCATCTCTGCTGCCAAAGCACACAGGCAGCCAGAGATAAGACATAAACAAACGGGCCTGACGGCTCCCATGAAACCTTATTTACAAAAACAGGCAGTGGGCCCAATTTGCCCACAGGCTATAGTTTGCCAACCCCTGTCTTAGATGACTGCATCTAATAATCCAAATTGCTTAAAAAAAAAGAAAAGAATTGAGAAAGCAGAAAGGAAAGAGGGTCTCGACAGGAAGAAAACAGCAACTGGCAGCCCTTCTTTTCCACCAGCCTGAATTCATCACTCCTCTCCAGAGCAAACGGGGATTGGAGTATGGCTCACGAGCTCTGATATGGTGGAATCCCTCACTGAAGGGAGAACGTAAACGCCGAGCGCATCTTACCATCGAAGGAACCACACTGTGCCTTAACCCAGAGACAACCCCAGGAGCAGGGAGGGGCTACAGACCTAGAACTCTGCCTCTTCTGGAGGAAACTGGCGCATCTTTTCTCCAAGGGCAACCCCTGGGAGAAGGCCACGTTATCTGTGAAGTCAGGTTGAGGAACGGTGCAATTTCCTGAGATGTTTTCCAGGAGTGGGTAGGCCTCAAAATTAAAATAGAAAACAGAATTTTGGATGTTCTTGTCGTCTTCGGTGGATTCAATTTCATCTGGATGGTCTCCTGAGATGAAACAAGAACACCATGTTCTGTATAATGATGACTTTCTCCCTGGTCTCTGTGGTCTGGGTGGGTAGGTGGGGGCTGCTCTCTGCTTATAGAGGTTGGGTCATCAGGGCTGCACTGTGAGGGGCTCACTTCATCTGGAGCAGCAGGAGTCCAGAGAGAAGACCTTGCCCCGCGTTTTATCTAAGTGCCTAGTGAGGAGTATCCTTTTGGCCTATGGTGGAGGGGACGAGGAGTGGGGAGGAGTTTTGGTGGGGTCATCCTATGCTTTGTGAAAGGACTAAGACAGTCCAGGAAATGGCCAGCAGGCCACAGGTCTGGGCAGTAGCCCTCCTGGTCCCCTTCCATACCTCGGAGCAGGAAACATGGGCGGTGTGAAGACACAACAAACACTGGCGTCCACGGGACCACCAGACGGTAGGATCTTGGGGGAGCAAAGGCACAGATGATGTGAGGCTTGGCCACATCCATGAGGTGCACACAGCCATTCCTGGAAAAGATCAGCACCTGGGAAGCAAACAGATGGTGAGTGAGGACTTCTCCACTCTGTCACTCACCCCAGTATGGAGGAAGAGAAGCAGCTGGACACAGAAAACGGAAACAGAATTTATTTGCTCTTGGGCACCCAGCCTCTGGACGCACCCAGGGCTGTTCAGGGGACCAGAGGAAGGTGTATGTTTACTCCTTTGGTGCCACCAGCAGCCCCGGCCCTCCTCCAGGTGCTGTGCCTGATCCTGGGCTGTCCTTCCCCTTGTGTCCTGACTTCTTTTTTTTTTTTTTTAAATGTTTTATTATTTATTATTATTATTATTATTATTATTATTTTTGGTGAGGAAGATTGGCCCTGAGTTAACATCTGTGCCCATCTTCTTCCACTTTGTGTATGGGACACCGCCACAGCATGGCCTGATGAGCAGTATGCAGGTCTGTGCCAGGGATCCAAACCCGTGAATCCCCAGGCCACCGACGCAGAGCGAGCGAACTTAACCACTACGCCACTGGGCTGGCCCATGGCTTCTCTTTCTAGTTCCCCCAGCATCTCTGCTGAAGAGCTGGCCCTCCACATGGCCAGGATTCAGTCCTGCATCTGGGAAGATACCCTTTCCTGCCACCTCCTGGGGACCCTGCTCAGTCCCACGGCCCTTCCTTGCCTGAGATCCGAGACGGGGCCTCTCTCCTGCTGGGGCTCTTTCCTCTCTTAGATGAACATACTAAACTCACCCCAATCTCTAAAAAACCCTCCTTGACCCTATGTCCTCTTCCAGCTGCCACACCACCTTCCCTTCCCTGACAAATGTCCCAGAGTCTCTCCTCACCCTCTCCACTCCTCCACCGCCCCTGCTCGCCCTCTGTCCCCACCACAGACACCGGTCTCCATGAGTACTTGGTTCTCATCACAGGACACTGTGCTCTCGCCTTCTTCAAACTCTCCTCCCTGAGCTTCCAGGAGCCCCGCCTGGTTTCCCTGGGGAGTCCCTCTCAGTCACTTCGTGAGCTCATTTGCCGTGTCCTGTGAGTGATGGTCATACCCCCAGGGAACCTCTTCTCTACACACCTCCTCTCTCTGACTAGGGGAACCTGCTGGTCCTCACAGCTTTAACCACCACTAACCAGAGCACAGAGTCTACACTTTTAGCCCTGGGCTCTCTCAGAGCCTCCTCTGTGGGTCCTATGGGCCCCTTACCTGCAGCACAGCAGGAATCACAGACCTTCCTTCCAGGCCTGTGTTCCCCTCGGCAGCCCTGTAAGGACTAGGGAATCAGTTCCACAAGCCAGGACCAGCCTCAATGCCTCCCTTTCCTTTGGCCACAGCCACAGGCAGCCCAGCACTGTGGAGGCCATCTGCACCAACACCTCTCCACTCTCCACCCTTCTCTGAATATGCTGCTTTCCTGCTCCAACTCCCCTCGATGCTTCAAGCCCCACCCCACACAAGGGCTCGTCTGCACCCTCCACCGTCTGGCCCCTCTGTCCCACCCCAAGCCTCCTCCCTCTCGACACCCCACAGGAATCTGACCCTGCAGCTACTTGAACTTCCTGCAGAGCCTGGACACACAGCGTTCTCTTGCCTCCATGGTGCTGCCTTCTTAGCTCCTGTGGCTCAGTTCAGCTGTTCTGTCACTTCCCTCAGAAAGCATCCCCCTGCTCCCCACCAACTGCTGCAGGTTGACTTAGGTGACCCCTCTCTCTGTTCCACAGCATCCACTGCATAATGTATCACAGCCTTCCTCATGTTCTAGAGCAGCTTCTTGCTGACTCATCTGTCTTCCCACTGAATTGTGAACTGTATGAGGGCCGGGACCTTCTCTTTCATATCTGTGTCCCCCAAAGCTAGTCTAGTGCCTAGCGCTTGGTAGGCCTTTGACAAATATTTTTTGAAGGAAAAACAAACAAATTCACTGAAGAGGAATGAGTGGCATGGGGAACCTACCATCCCAGGTAAGGCTGGGACGGGGGCCACGGCACAGATGGCTTCATCCAGGTGCTTTGCAGGCCTATGGGGAACAAGACACACACACGTTCATACTTGAAGAGTTTTAAAGTTTTGCTGTCCTCTCTGAGGCATATGTCCTGGAGAAACTCTTGTATATAAGCATCAGGAGATGTGTCGGAGACCGTTCATAGCAGCCAAACCCGGAACAATCTAAGTATCCTTTGGTAGGAACTTGTGGCATATTATACGATGGAATACAATATAGCACTGAAAATAAAAGAATTGGAGCTACATACACACCAACATGTACGACTCTTGTGAACAATGTTGCAAAGCAAGTTACAGAATAAATAGGATTGAAAAGTTTGAAAATACATAGAATATCATCCCATTTACAAGTCCCCTAAAAACGCACAGCTAAACAACATATTGCTTGGAGATACAGTCATATGGATGTGGTTAATTCTTAAAGGAAAGCAAAGGAATGATGAATTTAGGAAAAAGACGTGGCAGATTGAAAAACAAAAAGCCATAATATTTGGCAGCATCTCCCATCAAAAGACAGAAGCTACTTTTCCACCGCTTGAGTGCAGGTGTGGCCCTGCCACGTGCTCTGTCCCACGTAACACGAGTAGAGGCTTGGAAAGTATTCATGCCCTGCGGCTGCCCTTGCTTGCTGCTGGGAACCCTTAGGCTACCGGGTGATGGCCTGAGATAGCCTGCAGGAGAGGCCACAGGAGGGGAACAAGTGCCCTGGCCAATGGCCTGCCCACTGCCAGGTATGTGAGTGAGGCCATCTTAGACCCTCGGCCCCGAGCCAAGCTGCCAGCTGCCTGCAGGCACATGTGATGCCTGAGCAAGACCAGTGGAAGAACTGCCAATGGAGCCCAGCCCAAAATGCTGACCCACAGAATCAGGCCGAACATTAAGTTGTGGGGTGCTTTGTTATATACAGCAACACATAATGAATAAGGTGGTTCCCTTTGGGAGGAGAAAGAAGAATATGAGCAGGGAGAAGCACACAGAGAGCCTGAACTGAATCTGAGATGACCTATTTCTTAAGCTTGGTGATGGGTACAAGGGAGTTTATTCGTCTGCCTGTCTGTGTCTGCATATATACTAAATACACACACACACATATAGATATTGTACAGATCATTTGCATGCATAAAATATTTCACGATTTAAAAAAGAAAGAGAGACCCTTGGGGAAACTGATAAAAGGCTATTTTGGCAGAAAGACCCTCTTCTTGATCATGTGGCATATGAAAGACATTATTTGTGCCATCATACAATTTTGTTAGAAATATTTTATCTATATACTCACAAGTAAAAGACACTGGTGACTGTGAGAAGCTCATCAGCAGAGTTCTCCTCGAGTCGGAGAAGATGTCAGTTTTTCACTATTAAATAGCATCATCTGTCTGGCAGATCATTCACCCCCATCTTGCCCTCAAGCCACTGACCTCTCAACAAGCACACTGCTGGTGGGTCCCTGAGTGCCCTGGGCAGCCACCAGGTGGAGAGAAGCATCTGTGCACAGCACCACACATTTCATTTGGGATTTCACTGGACCCTCGGGGTACACATTCCGTCCTTCATGCACTAAGAAGTATCTTAGGAAGTGAACGCTTTGGCAGAAACACCCCTCAGGAAGAGCGACGACCCCGAGAGGGAATCCTGGAGGAAGTAATCACACCAGCAGGTCACAAAAGAGGGTAGAGGGATGCGGTCACGGAAGCAGGGTCTGTGACCCGCGAGTACCTGAGGGCTGTGAGGGCAAAACCAAGTGATGAACACCCTCTGAGAGTGAACCCAGTAAGCCCAATGCCCAATGGAGAGAAGAGCCCCCTTCAGGAGGACCCCTTCTAAGTATGGAGAGGAGTAGGGGAGGGGGAGAACCCAACCCACAGCGGGGCAGAGTCAGCACTGGAACAGGAGGAAGCTACAAGCCAGCCAGGTACTGAACTGCAGCTGACCATGCATGTCAGGTGTGTGTGTGTGTCGGGGCGGGGGAGGGCGGTGTCGGAAAAGGGGAGGGAGGTATGTGTGTAGCCAAACAGCAAGAATTTACCAATATCTAGAAAAACGAAAACAAGCTATTGGGCAAGGGATTGTGAAATTATAATCATTCTTCTGCCCTTGAAATATCTTTCACTACTATAATAATGCTGTGGGTGCAATAAATAAAATTCAGGAGGGCCTTTAGTGATGTTTGTCTTAGCACCACGTGGGGAGAATGTCTCCCTATTTGAAACAACCACTGAATTCCGCAGATGGAAACAGCCCAGGTGAGGAAGGCACTGCACTGACTTGACAGAAGCCTCCCTGAGAAGAGCCAGCTCTGCTGTCCGACCATCGTCTCTCCAATAAACAAGGCACTATCTCCGCTTCTCCTCATCAACTCACCCGCTGGGAGGGCTGCCAGGAAGGACGGCCCACCTCTACTCTCAAATGATATACACATCCAACTGTAAAGTGACAAACCACTGATGCATTCATTGATTCCTTAAAAGCTTGGTTAGAGGGAGATACTCCCTCAGAGGTGGATCAATTCAGGGTGAATAGATACCATTGATTTTCTGCACCTACAAAGCTGGACCCAGGACCCTGGGACCCCATCAAGCTGCCACCCACCCAGAACAGCTGCTTGTCTCGCACTGACCACTTGGTAGGTCTCTCAGCTTCAGCACCAATGAGGTTCCTGTTGACTGGGGTGGGGGTGGAATAGCAGGAAGGAAGCCTTCCTTATTTTGAGAGCGTGGGGGCTAGGAGAAGGAGGGCTGAGGCCGCCATGACATCACGTTCTGTGTGGGAAGATACGTCCTCTCTGGAGTGTGATAATGGAGTAATGGTTGTGCCTCCGGGACCCAGTACAGCGCCAGGCACAGAGCAAGCACTCAACATACACAGGAGGAATGGGAAGTGTCAACACATGTGTTCAATAAATGTTTGTTGAGTGAATGAATGAGGGCAAAGCAGGACCAGCTCCGCAAGGTGACTTGAAGAACACAGAGTGACTAACAGAAGGCGGGGAGCTTGCAGGAATTCTGGAGTCTCACTACCCGGACCCCACCCAGGTGTTGGGCAGATGCAGGGGCTCACCTCCGGCCAGGTCCCACAGCGTGAGCACACCATCCTCGCAGGCCAGCACCAGGAAGGAGGATGAGCAGCCGAGCTGAGAGACTGCGATGGGTGCAGCACAGGGCCACACGCCCTCGGGGTCTAGCAGGGAGGGCACTACTCACCGGGCGGGCCCCCAGACCCCACTCCCACCCCTCACCTCTACCTGGACAACCTGAGACCCAGACTAGTCTGCCTGTCTGGGATGTGGGGAGGAGCACCTGTCTGACTCAGCATCTCTCCTCCCTACACAATGCTTCTCCAAGTCACACTACGATTACACCACAGGGAACACCTAATGAGTACTTGCTAGGTGCTACACACTGCGGTGAGCACTCATGTGCGCCACTTCATTGAATTCTCACAAGGGTCCTAGGAGGCAGGGGCTACTAGTCCCCCACTTTAGAGGAGGAGACTGAGGCAGAGAAGCAAGTGACCAGCCCAAGGACATACAGGCAGTCAGTACAGACGTGGAGACTGGAAGCCAGGCTGCCTGGGAGAGGGAATCTTCCTTTGTGAATTTTTTTTTTCTTATTTTTGTGAGGAAGATCAGCCCTGACCTAACATCTGCCAATCCTCTTCTTTTTGCTGAGGAAGACTGGCCCTGGGCTAACATCCGTGCCCATCTTCCTCCACCATCTTCCTCCACGTTATATGGGATGCCGCCACAGCACGGCTTGCCAAGCGGTGCGGTGGTGCGCAACCAGGATCTGAACCGGCGAACCCCGGGCCGCCGCAGCGGAGCACGTGCACTTAACCGCTTGTGCCACCAGGCCGGCCCCTCTTCGTGAATTTTTAAACATTACTTTTAAGTACAATTCTAAAATATAACCTAAGTGTACAGCTCAAGGGATTATCACAAAGGGAACTTGCTCATGGAACTGCCTCCATGGATTTGTAAAAAACAAACAAACAACAACCCCCCTATTTCCTAAGTGCCTTTCCATTTCAAAGAGCTTTCACACACAGAAACCCTCTGGATTTTGCTATTCGCAACAAATGCATGCAGTGGATGGGGATGGTTTAGTTAATTAGCTCTGTGTTTCAGAGGATAAAAGGGGACCGGGGCATGAAGTGACTGGCCTGAGACTACACAGTTTGCAGACAGGGGCGCTGGGACTGGACCTGGCCTTCTGAGGCCACGCCCACCCTCTTTTTACGTTAGCTGCCTAATGAGCCCCATGGACCTGACTGGGATTTGTCCCCACTGACCTGCCATCTTTAAGAAACATAACAGTTCAGAGACAGAGCCTTGGGGTTACACCACAGCCACCGAGCCACCCACTTCTGCCTGCACAGCTCTGGTCCCCTAAAGTGGCGCTGATGGGTCAGTCACGTGCTCTCAGCTAAGCTGGAGAATGACATGCTCTGAGAGCCCTGAGCTCAGGCAACACCCATCTCAGCAGTAAAGTACCAACTTTATCCTTCAGAGTTCGGTTAAGTGAATAGAGGAAGAAGTTGTGACTTCCAGTCCAGTGTACGCCAAGGACACAGGCTACCCCTGGGAAAGAAGAGAGGAAAGGCATGTCATGTAAGGAGCCTGCATGGTCCTTGCTTGTGTGGAAGGTGTCTGCCCAAGCGGAAGTCAGTCTGAAATCAAAAGTGGTCTGTTCTAATGGGCAGCACCCAACAGAAGGGTGAGCTTCTTATGGAGGTGGGGCTGGGCACCCCCGGGACGGCTGTTCCTAGGGCCCACTCGCCTTCGCAGGCGGAGAGGATGGCCACAACTGCCCATGGCTGCTTTCACATCTTCTATATAATTCATGTCCACTTGGCTGTCAGCGGACAGTGTCTACACAACGAATGCATCTCCAGAAGCAGCCTGGCGGGATGTGTGTTCCTACTCTCCCCTGCGACAGGAGCGGCCTCCACTATCAGGGAAGCTGGGCTCATGGGCCACAGGTCCAACCAGACACCGTGAAGCTACAGCTGGCAACCGACTCTCCACCTTATTCCCTCCCACCGCCAGGGTCTGCTCTAGGAGGGCTTGCTGAGGCCTTCCCTCAAAGCAACCTCTCGCCAGGACAACCCCTTGCTCCACGTTCCCTTACCTGAGGGGCTCTTGACGTCCGCTGGCATTGCAGTTATGCAGCTAGGAAGGAGGAAATGGAAGGTGGCCATACTGGGAAAGAGAGAGACACTATTCAGAACCACGGCAGACTCTTCAGCAGGGAGAGGTGCTGGCAGAGTCTGGGTACTAAGACCAGAAACGGGTAGTTAAGATGGACCTTCCCAGGGGTACAGGGCCATGAGGCAAATCACATTCTAGCCCTGGCGGGTGCAGACCCGGGAAGTTGGTGTGGGCAGGGCGGGCAGAGCTGTGGGAGTCACTCCCAGGCTGGGAACAGCACCCAGCACTGGGCAGAGCCATCACTGTCCTTGGGGAATGTCCCTTAATGACCAGGCTTGGGTGATGTGCATAAACGCTCTCTCACCCTGGAGGCAACACAACCAGTGGTGTGCTGATGAATTGGCTCTCACAAAAAAAAAAAAAAAAGCCCCAATTTCCTGATTTATAGAGTTTGTAGCTTTTTGTGATATAAATACTCCCACTATGGTCAATTATTAGCAGTTTAACAACTGGCCTGCAAAATTCCTCAATACCTCGCTAGGCAGTATACCACTGAACCTTGCTGGGTTCCAGTTCATGACCCGGCTGGTTGCTGTTAGGGCTGAGCCCTAGGACTTTGTGTCCTGAAGTGAAAAACCTCCAGGTCCACTTGACAACAAGATGAGAGGTTTCTGGGCCAGCCTGGTGGCGTAGCGGTTAAGTTCGCACGCTCTGCTTTGGTAGCCCGGGGTTCGAGGGTTTGGATCCGGGGCAAGGACTGACACACGGCTTATCAAGCGGACCAACGCGCCTGTGGCAGGCTTCCCACATATAAAGTAGAGGAAGATGGGCACAGATGTTAGCCCAGGGCCAGTCTTCCTCAGCACAAAGGGGAGGACTGGCAACAGATGTTAGCTCAGGGCTAATCTTCTTCACACACACACAAAACAAAAAGATGAGAAGTTGTACTTTCCATGTAAAGCAAGAACATTCCTGAGATCCACAGCAGCTGTGAAGAGAGCTGGTTCTTAAAACCAGCTCCCCCAGGTACTTCAAATACTGTATCACCAGATACAGATACTTTATCATAACATGGGGCTAATGAGGCCTACCTGCTGACTGAGATTAGAAAGTAATGTATTTTAATAATTACACATTAACATATTACATTTAGAAAGCCTGGGTGGAAATGGAGAAAAATGTTAATAATAATGACTTTTACTTCCATCTTTAGGATCTTCTGTGTTGTCTAGATAATCAGGAAAAAAAATTTTTAAGAGATGATATCACACATAAAATTGTAAAATAAACTATTTGTCATCTCCATAGATACCTATTCCTTGTTGTTCTTTTTTTTTTTTTTTTTCCTATTCCTTCTTTGAAATCCATGCTATAGCCTTTCTTCTAACAACATTTAAAGAACCTCCATACAACTTTTCAAAAGATCTACTGAAGTTCTCAGAAAAATCCCCCAAACCAGAAAGAGCTTTTAGACCCTGGACTAATCCTGGTCAGTGGTTGATTCCTGCGTGTGCCCAGAGAGGAGCAGCTCTAGGGGCTCCAGGCTCCTGTGGAGCAGGGGGTTCCAGCTGGGCCTCCTCCGGGCTCACCTGAGCGGCTCCTCGTTCCATTCCCCATCCAGGTACTTCTTGTAGGAGGCCGTGAAGATGGCTGCCTGCTGCTCCCACTGCCTCTCCCTGATGAAGTGGCTCTGCCCGGAGCCCAGCCCCCAGCAGTCCTCTAGCTTTGCAAAGACTTCCAGGGGGCTTTTAAATGTGGTACCTAGGGGAAAATATTCCCAAATTGGTCAAACCATCTGACTTGCCCCTCTTGATTTTCCCTTCCTTCCTCCATGCTTCCCAGTTTCCAGCAGAATCCGTCTACCTCAGAAATCTGTTCTTGCTCTGCAATCCTTTTGTGAGCCCAGGGCTTCATCTTCTCCTGGGCCCCTCTGTTACCCCACCGGCTCAGGGAACACAGGCAGAGCAGTGAGCAGCTGCTCTCCCTCCTTCTACTCCTGCATCCCTATCCCACTGTCATTTCCTGATTCCGGATGACAGAATCTCCAAAGGAGGCCGAGGGAATGTTCACCATGTCACTAGAAACCTTAGATCACTGTTGCTGTCTCCCCAGCTCAGCAAGGTCCCAAACCCGCCAGTTACGGTCACTATTCAGCCACCTCTGAAGACCCACCTCATTTAGACAGTCCCAGTCTCCACCCGTGTTGACACACCAACTACCTTCCTTTAAAAAAAATCTCCTTTCCCTGTCAATCACTTATCACTCCCCTCCCCAGTGACCTCGCATTTCTTTTTTTTTTTTAATTATTTATTTTTTTCCCCCAAAGCCCCAGTAGGTAGTTGTATGTCATAGTTGCA